TCTCACCACAGGGAGGATAAATGTAGAACTGTCCATCAAGGAAATGAGACACCATCCCATAAAGAAGGGTTAGCTGTCACTCAAACATCACTCTTAGGATCACTCCCCGTAGGCTTGGGAGACCATGCTGTGTCAGTGTGTCTACGATGATAGATGGAGCCTGTGTGTGCCTGTTAGTATGTGTGTGTGTGTGTGTGTATGTGGGTTGGGGGGTACAGGGATGAGTGACCGTCTCTATGCAGTATTTATCTGTCAGCAGGACTTTAGCTTTTAACTGCAGCTTCCTAAGCAAACACGAAAGCCGGTGCATCCATTATTTATACAACCGATATTGTTTATGGAATAAATATATAGCATATGCTAAATGGAAGAAAGACAGCAGCTTGACAAAGGAGACAGAAACACAAAATGACCAATTACCCTGTTGGAAGCAACTATTTGCCCACTCCTGGTGTCCTTACTCTAATTGGACTCCTCAGAGGTTTACACACAAGGTCACACACAAACACATGCACACAGTCACGCATGTAGACACAAATGCAAATTCACATATTGTTTAGCTGAAGTAGGGGATTGACTCATGTCTCCCACATTAGATTTAGCAAAACAGAAGTCTGATATTTAACACAAAGGACACACACACACACTCTCTGACAGTAGGATACCATCACACTGCTTACAGGCTTAGGATACTGGCACGGACACACAAACATGTGAGCCAGTGCGCGCACACACTAACAGCTATTTTGCGGGCACAGAATGATGTTTATACTTTAGTGACTGGGTGTGTGGCACAGTATGTCAGCAGATGTGTGAATAAGAAGATATGAAGCCAGGGAGGCGGGGGAGAAGATCAGGAGCTTGAGAGCAGACAAAGAGGGAGAGCAACACAAAGGGCTGAATAAATAAAGAGTAACACACTAAACCAAAACACAGGATCCATAGAGACAACATCGTTCCCAGTCATTGGTCACAGCTCCTACCTGTTTGCTGTACTTGTTCCCAGTCTGGCAGCCATACTCTGAGCACTGGTCAGATCCCAGGGACATGGCATCTGCATTGCCACTGCCCCCACTACTGCTGCTGCTGGAGCCGGCACTCCCCACACAAACTCCACTGCCGACAAAGGTGTTGGAGGGAGGCAGCTCCTGGACCGCCTGGTGCTTCTTTCCTTCAGCAGGGGGGGAGTGGGGCTGTAGGTTCACGGCAGGGAGAGGTGAGCTGGATTTGTAGTGCCTGGCCAGATCTGGGCTTGACTGGTGCCTCCTGCCTCCGCTCAGCCGGGGGCTGCCGGGGTCACTGTCCATAGCACAGTAGCGGGCTGCCAGGCGCTCGCTAGCACTACTCAAATCCTCTTCATCATCGTCATTGGCATGACGGCGCAGTCCATTGACTGTGACAATACCGCTGTAGAGGGATCTGTCTGACTTCCCTCCTCCTGTAGCTGCACTTCCACCGCTTCCATTACGTCTGTCTCGTCGAGGTTTGCGTCCACGGTCTGATCCCCCGCCACGGCCGGCCTGTGGTTGAGCCCCTGAAGGACTGAAGAAGTCTTCCTCTGGTTCCTTTTTACCAGCCTCATAGCCATTCTTGCCCTGAGCACCACATTGCCGAGCTGTGACTACAAGGAGAATCACCAGGATGACCGCTGCGGCTCCCGCCAGGACACCAATGGCTACACTTAGGCGCTGTTTCCCTAAAGCACGCTCACTGTCTGGGTCCCCTGCGATGTCCAGTGAGAGTGGAGCCATCAGGCTTCGGGCCACCTGTGGTGAGAGCATGAGAGAAGAAGAACAAGAAAGAAAAGATGCAGAATATAGGAGGAAAAAGAACAAACAAAAACAAATCATCAACAAGAAACAACGTCCAAAAGAAAAACTGTTGAAGATGACACAGTGGGTGTGAGTCAGAGAGAAACATCAAACAGCATCTTCAACTTAATTAAACTCATCACGTTAGTGGGGAAGCTTCCCCTTTATTCCCAGAAA